TTTTTTAATATTTTTAAATTGCTAAAATGTTCAAAAAAGCAGCTATTATATAATATCCATTTCTGATGTCGCCAATAATTAGAGATGCACTGAAATTCCGGCTGCCGAAAATTAGTTCACCGCTCAGGTTTCACTTTCACGTGGTGTGACGCTCTGTGTATTATCCCGCTCTATGCGTGTGTGTGTGCTCCGCTCAGTCGCTCACGGCCCATGTGAGTGCTCCACTCATATACCGTTCATGCTCATCGGAACAGCAAAGTCCACTCAAAATCGAGCTGACAGGAAACATCTATGTAGTACAGTATTGTTTCTGTTTGCAATAGCCCTACTGTGCTGTAACAAGGTGTGGTAAATGGCAACTCTGGTAACGCAGCCCTCTCATTCATTGATCTGATAACCGTTATGCTCATGTATCCTCTGATATAAATAGCTTTCTAGGATTAAACATTATTTGGATAATTGGTAAAAAAAATCTCTTAATAGCCCTACTGTGTGTTAGACCTACCTGAAAAACTAAAAAGCAATTTATTTCATTTGTAGGCCTATCGTTATTTTTTATTTGTGCTATCATTAGTAATTTCTTTATTTATTCTTATTTTATTATTAACTGCTTAGTCTCCTTGTCATTTTTTATTCATTTTTTATTCAATTCAAAGTTTTAAGTTAAAGTTTTAAATCAAGTGCTACTGCAACAAAATTACCCAACTGTAAAATCAAAAATACACTGAGTGAGCAAAACTTTGTTTAATTACCATTATAACTAGCTATCTCACAATGTTTACATATGAATAAAAGTCTACATTAAAATCTGTCATATAAATTGGTCTTTTCATTAGAAATTAGCCTACTGATTGCCACCATTGATGGACAAAATTTTTTAATAATATTAAAAATATCTGTATGACAGTGTATTCTGCAGTTCTTCCCTGCTGTACCGAATATCTATACTTTTCAAAGTATCATATCGAAGTTAGAAATTCAAATATTGTGACAAAATAAATTTTGTAGGGTGCCACAAATTTGTTAAAATTTCCAAAGGGTGCCGCGACTAAAGAAAGGTTGGGAAACACTGGTATAATGTAATATCATGCAGTTATTTCTGCCAGTAATAGCTTTTTTTTCCTTATTTTTTTTAATCAGCAGTTGTTCTTACATTGTACATGGACATAATCTTTCTGGACAGAAATGAATTTGTCTCTCAAAGTGGAATCATCTTACAGTTCACAGATCTAGAGGTGATGTAATATTACATGAATCAGACCGAGAGACCGGCAATTCACTTCATTCACTACTCTAAGACAGCTCTGCGGGGAGACAGCTGACTGGAGCAGGGGGATTCATAACATCTTTTTCATCTCCAAATGCCTTATAACATTTTAATGAAATGGTTACAAAATTAGCCGCAAAACTAGAGAATTCTGATGTAATGCTTGAAAGAGACTTAGAAAGGGAGAAATGGGGTGAAAAAAAGAGAATGAGAGGATATTCGTTTCTGCACTCCTCGCTTAGTCTCATGAGATTCCTCTCTCTCTCTCTCTTTATCGCTCTCTCTCAGCATGCCACAGTATCCTCAGTGACACCGTTCCCAGCTCCTCCACCTCCCCTCCATTGATTCAAGTACACTACTGTACGCAGTCCGTTCTGCATCTCTGTTGGCCTCTGCGCCACACAATAAGTGAAGAAGCATTTAGTCATTCTGATACAGCGCGCCGCTAACATCGATCACCAACTGATTCACTTAAGCTGCAAGTCTGTTTCCAAGCTGAACAAGGCCTTGATTTACATTCATATAAAATACTTGCGAGACTGTTAAGCGAAAGTACAAACTCTACATACTAACTATTCAAAGTCATTGTAACCTATGTGCCATCGTTTCCCATTATGAGCCACAATACGCATTTTCTCCCAACAATGAGGTTCAAGCTCAACTGTGAAAAATGGCCATTTCTCAGTGCCATAAATCCTTAGGTTGCGCACAGCATGAATGTAATAGTTTTGTGAAATGATTAATTCAGGAGCTTGCACGATTTCGGGCGCAGGAGACTCGCACTCCACAAACATTACGAGAGGGGGGAGAGGAGGAGGAGATGTGGCCAATAAAACTGTAAAATTACAAATGTATCATGTTGAAATATCCAGGGAGTAAAACAACACAGTTTTTTTAGACGTCCCTCAGAAAGAGCCAATTCTTTACTACTTCCATGTGTGAAGGGTTAGAGCAATGTCTCAAATCTCTCTTTAACAGAATCTGCTTCTCAGTCATTTATTGTGAAAAACTGCAGTTCAGTCTGGCATATATAATATTTTAGATCTGAGATTTTTCTGTGTTCTTCATAGTCAAAAGAGCCAGTTGTGTTCATAAATAATAACTGCTCATTTAATACGCCAACATTTCTCTTTGAAAGACCCCGTGAAACGGCTTGACGAGCCGTTTCCTTTCCTTTTTCCTTCTGAAATATAGCTGAAATAAAATAAAATAAATAGATGAAAACGTAGAAATTAGAAATGTTGCCTCGGTAACTAAATGAAATAAGTTTAAGTTGAAGCACTAAAATCGCTATACTGGACATAAATAAAAACTCAATCTGAAATAATTATAAATTAAACCTAAATAGAAATATTTTTAAAAAGAAAGAAAGAAAATAATAAAAGAACATAACATGACTAAAAATTAAACTTGAATTAAAAAGAAAACTAAAAATATAAAAATAAAAGTTAGTTCAAAACATTCTAAGTTTTCAAAAACAAACAAACTATAATGGTCTATAAATAACACGAACACTGACATGATGTCATCAACATTTCATGGGGTCTTTAACACATCCTACACATCGTATGTGCGGGTATGCTTGTAAACGTGCCTCTTTAAGCATACTCACCTTAGTCACTGCAGGATATCCAACAGCCACCTCCGCTGGACAGTGTATCTTCTCCTCATTGGACACCTGCACCGCAGTGGCCCATTGATCCAGGAAGCCGCTCGGGGTATAGAGACCACAGTCCCTTACGCTCGCCTCCCGCTCAAAGTCCTCACACACACCATCACCGTCATAGAAGTAACACAAGCTGGGCTCATCTTCAGAGGAGAGAGATAGAGATGAACTGGTATGAGAGCAATACTGAACCACTGCATCAAAAGCCCATTTCAAATGCTGAGATCAGCAGACTGTTTGAAGCTGGTAGCAGTTATTCATGTCCTTAACTTTATCCCAGTGCTTCTCAGACAGTTTCAGGTGGTGGACAACTTCAATAGAAACCCTCCACCCATCTACTTCAAAGCAATTATCTACAGTATATATATACAGTATATATACATTAATAACTGTGTGGGTATGTAAATGATTAAATTAACTCACTTACTGTAAATGTTGACATAAATTAAAAGTAAAAAAAAATGAACTTAAGGCTAATTTGAATATTTGCTAAATAAATTACACATTATCGACCTGCCAAATAAATTACATTTACACAGTCTGAATAATTTGCAAATAAATATCGTTTCTGTAGGTAAGTAATAACTTGTTGGCATTTTAACAGTTTAAAATTATAACAACATATCTTAAAAAAGAAGAAGAAAATTGCTAATGTGAATAAAATCTAAATAAATAAAGCAATAGGAATAATATGAAAATAAATAAAACATTATTTTATTAAAAATAATAACAGCTTTCAAGTGGTGTCAGGATAACAGGAGTAAAACATTTTAGCTGTTGGGATTAAAAACAGCTGATATTTAATTTAGCTGAGTACAGGACATTCTGTTTAGTTTTGTCATAAAGGTTGTTTAGAGCACTCATTGTTTTACTTGGCATTACTTCACAGTGTTAATACATGGTCTATTTTTTTACTGGCTTTAAAACAAGGACAGTCATAAATCATCATTCACGATGACAGATTGATTATCTTTTATGACTGTACTTCATGTATCAGCAGCCCAGACGCATTTCTAGCAAATTGATCACCTCAATTAAAATCCCACTACCATTATCAGGTGAAGGACTTCAAGCTTCTTTTTAGAGGTCTATCTTTTTAAAATGTTGATTTGTGTTGTTTGATCTTTGTTTTGTGCCCTGATGTGTCCCGTTCCTGTCTTCTCCCAGGCCCTGAGGTGTCAGCAAAATTTGAACGCGTATAGCTGACACTAAGGGAACACACTATGAATTGCAATGATCTGTCACCTGTTCAGTCCAGCCATCCTGGTAATCAACAGCTACGAGGTGTCAATCATTGCAAACAGCAGTCAGGAAACAAGTTTGCAAGATGTGCACTTATCAAATCAAACACTCTTTCCCCGACAAGCTACAAAACAATATTAACAAGGACAGACTATGTAAAGTTATAGGCATCCTCAGGCGCACAGCAGCCGCAGTACATCAGTCAGAGGAAGCTACTATGTTTAAAGGGCAGCAGGATCCACGCTGCACCTTGTCACATCACTTCCTGTGCTAAAAAAGCACAGGAAGTGTTTTATTAATACTGTGTTACCGTGTACAGTTCGCGTGACACTTTCAAAACAGAGTGCTGGAAAATATCAAGAAGCACAGGGTTGACGTAACCATAGATCTTTGCCCTTCTGCTTGATCAGAGGTTTGTCTTGGGGTTCGTTCAACATAAATGTAAGTTGCACAAAACACTAAGCTGAGATAAGACATTTTATTTCTGTCAAGCGCTCTGCTGTTTTGGACAAAGCAGCCAACCAAAAATTGAGACGTTGTTCAAAGTGACATACTGTAAAAAGCTCCAACTTTCCACACGAAGATGTAAAAAACTGATGTAGCAAAGCAAGTAGAATGTGCTGAATGTCAGTGACATTTACAATTGCAATTACAATGAACAAATGAACAGAGACTTAGGGTGTGTTATGTTGACATAAGAATCTTGATATTTTCTGGTATTTTTTAAATGTGTTTTACAATATTTTACGTAAAAGGAATGATTCCTTTAAAAGTGAAACTAAAACCGCCAATAGGTTTTGGCAAATCAGCTGCTGCAATTTACTGGTATGAGAAGTTGTAACATTACCATTAAATTACAGGTAATTTGCTCTGTGTAAACGCAGAATGAAGATTACCGGTATGAGCACGTACAAGTTCAGAACGCCAATCATAACATTCTGATACAGATGACGCATTTACTCTGTACTGTGTAGTTCGGTTTGAAGTCGTCTGATAGGATGTCTCTGGGCCAAAATAAGCTGCATGAATGTAAACATTTGACACAAAAATGAAAACATTAACAAAAACACTGACCGCGTTTACCCCTCTATGTTTACAAACACAACACCGGGACACGCAGCCATTTAGAGGTCATTTCCGGTTAATGATGTCACAGAATTTACCAGTAATTTGAAACCGATGTGTGAATGGTGCTTTACCGGTAAAAAGACGGAACGTCATTGCTCGTGTGAACTGCGCATTTTTGTATTTACCGGTAAAGTCATTCCGGTCATTTTATGGCAAGTTATTGGTATTACTGTGTGAAAGGCGCTATTGACTCACCTGATTCATTCAAAAATGCAGATTCTTTCAGGAACCAAATACAAAACGCCGTGTTGCAACTGTTCTGCTGTGGCTTTGTTTAAAATATTAACTTGTTTGTTGCAAAAAATCCATATAATTTACAGCACACCTACTTGTGTGATATTCCTTAACTACACTCTTAAAAATAAAGGTTCTTTACTGGCATTGATGGTTCCATAAAGAACCTTTAAAGTCCCCATGAAATCAAAATTAAAGTTTTTTGGGTGTTAGTATCAATATGTTAGTCTTAAGGTTATCTATAAGGCAGTGTGCTCCAAAACAGTGACAAAATTCGCATTTATAAAATATAAGCATTCAAAGCTTGCAGTCACTTCCGCCAAAACGGCTCAACGATTTTTTTGACGTCACATCGTACTTCATCTTCTCATCAAATCTTCTGACCAATCAAATGCTCTCTAGAATCCAAAGACATAGAACGCTGAAGTCACTTGTTCACAGTGTAGTATTTCCTGTACAGTGAATGGTTCGAAGTGCACAATGTAGGTGATAGGGAGCGTTTCAGACAGTGTAAATATGCTTTCAATTGGTGAAAATGAGGTCTGGTTTCACGTTGTTTCACATGAACCGTGGCCGCGCGCAGTCTGATCCGGACTTTGGCTCCGGTCCAGAGACGCGATCGCACGGAGCGGATCATATGCGCAAGTCGGCATATATTAAAAACTTTTACAACTACACAGCCTCAGCATGATTATGACCACTATTTTGTTTTACTAAGAGTTTCATATTGAATCTAGTGGGTAATCTATTAGACTGTGGCTGTCAAATGCGGCTTTACTGAGCTCAACGGCTTTGGCCCGAGCAGATATAAACAAAATGCTATTGGCTATTTTAAAAAGGGGGCGGGGCTGCTCGATATGTCCTGCCCTCTCTTCCTGTTTCAGTTGAAATTACGTCACCACATAGAATAATGCTGCATGTTCACTGCACTTCAGGGGACCTTTAACATCCATGGAATCTTTCCATTGCAATAAAGTTTCTTTGCAATGGAAAAAGGTACTTTAGATTATTAAAATGTTCTTCACAATAAGAAAAAAAAAATATTTTAAGAACTATTCACTCCTAGTCTGTCATATTCATATTTTTTTTATCTTATTCTAGAATATTTTGTAAAGATGTTTGTGCAAATCCTTTAACTGCCATCTTTGGTATTGTATGTGAAAATAACACTTTGTCAAAAAGTGAATTGGCCTGCATCGCCTTTACTTCTCTTTTGGCAAGGCGCTTGATTTAAATTAATTGGAAACAGTCATTTCCCCCTTCTTTTAAACAGTGGGCCAGAGATGTGTTACAATTCCTGAGTTTGGAAAAAATAAGACTTAATTTAAAGGGTTCCGGGTCTAAGTTCACAGCCATATGGTGTCCTTTCATAAATTATTTACAAAACCAAGTATAATTGTAAGTGGATAAACTGATGCTGATGCTGTCAGGTTTTGCTTATGATTTACTGATGTTATTTTCTCTTTCTTGTCTTTGTTTATATGCACACAATGTAAAAGCACAATGTCTGTATGCATGTTGTGTTGTTAGTTGTGTTGATATGTGAATGTATGTTTTTGATTATCTAAATAAACATAAAATTAGAAAGAAAAAAAAAGAACTATTCACTAAAAGGTTCTTTTGGGAACCCAAAATGGTTCTTCTATGGCACTGCTGTGAAAACCCCCTTGTGAATGCTTAATTTTTGGGAGTATATATCATATGAATTAAATACAAGACAAAAACTGATACAGGGGTATTTTTATCCTCATATCTTGAATTTTGAGGACACTGTAATAGGCTACATCACGTAATGAACGCGTACACTGTCAAGGCACTGTTGAAAAGCTACAACGAAAAAAAAAAAGATTCATTCATGAACAGAGAACATGATTTCTCTTTGACGTTTATGTTGCTTTTTCTCTTTTTTTCCCTTGCATTTTTTATGTAAATTACAAATTTTCTTTTTTTTCTGAACTGTTCCTTTAAGGCAGTGAAGGATGAACTCATTGAACCTACTCCAAAAAAAGCGGAACTGCCAATTAAGCACTGTCAGGTACTAGTGCAACCTCAGACTTCCAGAGGTGTCCTAGAGGTCAGACAAGACTTCAGCTAGATGAATGTTGGCTACATTCAACAGCGAACTTCAAAAGCCCTTCTTGTCTGTTCTTCTTTGCTGCCTCCTTTTCTTCTCTCTGTCTTTTTTTACTCCACTCCAGCTTTCTGTCCACACGTTTAGAAGAAAAGGGGATTGTTGCATTACTGCTAACAGGAAGAAGTGACACAAAAGTTCGCTAGTGCTCGTTAGGCAGATCTTAGAGCTCTACAGCAAAGAGTAAAGTCTTTTGTGAGGGGACTTAAATGTCCCTAAGAGGGTCCAATTATGTGGCTAATTGTTTTGACAGAACTGATCAGCTTACAACTTAAAGCACTCCATTAACATCACAACCAGCTAACAAGTTTTGTGCTATAAAGGGATAGTACAACAGAACTTTCTTGGTCTTTCACACATTGTCAGTGTAGGACACTGTGACACTGATGACAAGCTGAAGCCATGAGCTTGATGGCTGGGCAACTGGGCAGAACTGACATCAATAGAGCACTGAGAAGTAATCAGCAATACAGCTAAATGCTGTTGGAGCAAAACATCAATCAAACTGATGCTACACTTTATACTTTTACTTTATTGTACTTTGCTGTTGAAATAGCAATAAAAAAAGCATTGAGAAATTTTTCAACCTAAAATGAACATTTTCTCATTATTTATTCACTCTCATGTCATTCCAAACACACATTATTATTTTTATTTTGTTATTTTTTTGCCGTATACAAAAGGAGGTATTTTGAATAATTGTTATGCAGCTCTGTTCCATACAATGACACATACAGTGTCTATGTTTTCTATACAATGTCTGACCAAGTCTGCAAAGCGAAAAAACAAAAAGCTTAAAAAAAGAATATATATATATATATATATATATATATTAAAGGACCATAAGATTACTGCACTACATTCCAAACTTTTTGAAACCATACAATAGCTTTGTGTGAAAAAACAGTCAAACTTTGAAAGACATGGTCAGTATGAACCGTCACTGTTTAGAAAAGAGCTGGGCCAAGATTCTCCAAAAATTCTACATTTGTTTTCCTCAGAATTTTTTTTATATATGGGTTGGAATGAGAAGAGGGTAAATAATGACTTAATTTACATTTGAACTACTCCTTTAACATTTCTACCTATAGATTACGGTCACATACCAACACAGTTGAACAACGTCTCCTTCTTGCACTGGTTAGAGCAGCCGTCTCCATTAGCAAAGTTCATGTCATCACATTGCTCTCCAAGGTATCTGAAAGGCATACACGCATAAGTCATCAAAAGAGTTAAATCACACAAATAACCTTGCTGCCACAAGGCTGCTTTTCAATAAATCAAAAATGAACTTTTTACTTTTTACATGGTTCAAAACAGATTTTACCAAAATAAGAAATAAAATAAGGATTTTTCTCAAAACAAGAAAAATGGAGCAAGACAAAATGCATTTAATTCAAGATAGAGCCTCTGTAAACAATCTTATACAATTTTGCTACAAAGTCAATTCAATGAGTCATTCTGTCAATTATGTCCATTACTGATTGTTTTATTCACAAAACTTTATCTATTTTCATAACATGGCTGTAACCATTGTCGCCCACAGTGGTTGCAATAAACACAAGGATATGTTTTTCATTTCCATTACATTTATATATGGAATGCAGTGAGAGTTTAGAGAGTGAACTCACTTTTGGATGAGTCCATCTCCACAGTAGGGTGAGCCCAGCTGGTGAGAGAGAGGAGGAGATGGTTCACTCTCTGCTCTTCTAGACACTGTCAGCACGTGGTAGGTGTACGTCTCATCAGGCTTTAAGTCCCTGGAAAACATAAACAGGGGCTATTAGTATGTTTTTTAACTCTTATGCAGGATTTAAATTATAAGGTGTTTTAGTGAAACCCAACCCCACGATGCTTGCATTCTTAAAATTGTAGTTGAATAAAAGGTTGTGGGGCCTTGCCATTCAAAAATTTGAGGTCAATAAGAAATTAACACATTTATTCAGTAAGGACACATTAAATTAACCAAAGTAAAAATTTATAATGTTACAAAAATTGAAAATAAATGTTGTTTTGAACTTTCTATTAATTAAAGAATCATGAAAATAAAGTGTCACGGTTTCTATAAAAAACAAAATAAATAAATTATAATAGAAATAATTAAATTAAATTAAAAATAAAATAAAAGAGAAGAGAAACAGCATGTTTTCAACATTCATGATAATAATAATAATAATAAAAACATCATAAAACTTTTCTAAATGTTTCAGCCTTGGTGAGGATAAGAGACTTCTTTTAAAAACATAAAAAAAAAAACTTACCACCACTGAAACTTTTGAATGGTAGGGTACATGCTGTGTTTCAATAAGGTTTTCAAATGTTTTATTAAAGAAAAAAGTTTGATTACAAGCTCACCAGACACTGGTGAACAGATAAATTGCTCAGATGCTTTCTATATACTTCAACAAAACATGACAGGAACTGTTATCATTTATCACTTTATTATAGAACTGCTAAGTAGCTAGTTTGAGTCCTGCTTCAGTTCCTGGCTTGAGTTGAACGTGCACACTTTTTCTATAATATCTTTTTTATCACAAATATATAACACAAAACCCTTTAGTATAAAGAAAAGATGTTATACCTTTAAAAGAATCCTGCTTACCTCTACCTACGTTAACACTTTTAAATATTTATAGCTGAGAGATGGAAAATTACTTTGGAATGAGTGTTTATAAGACAGTTGTAGTGTTTGCCATTATATAAGGCGATAAGCACTCAGTGCATTTAATTTAAGCGATTTCATGCGAAACAAACTGTCCCCTTTCATCCTCAAGCCCCAACGATTAGATGCTAAGAAAGGATGGCTATTGTAATGTGACTCTAGGTAGAGTACAAAGTGTGCTCTCGGCACTCGTCATGACTGTAATACAACCCTCCAGGTACATGAAGTGCAAGACTCAGCTGAAACAGCGCAAAACTCTAGTCATCATCTGTGCTGGGAACGGACCACCCAAATGACCCAAGACCCCCTCATCCCATAAAATGCATTTCCTCTCTCATTCTATTTATCTTCACCTCACAATGAAATGCCAATAATAGAGTGATGGAGAATGGAGGTGGAGGGAGCACAGGATCAATTGGGGAGGCAGAGGGGGAGGTACGGCAATACGCTTATCTGTCTGCATTACTAGTCCTTAACTCCCTCTCTTTCTAAAAATAAATAAATAAATAAAATATCTTCCTGTTATTGACCCAGCCACTTATGGGGCTCGGGTTAACGAAAACATTTTAATCGCGACTCAGATCAACCCTTAAACCTCTGTCTGCACATATGCTTCTCAGATCCTTTACACCGCTTTAACTTTCCGCCTGCAGGAACACAAACTTGGAGGGATCGCGCAGTGTGCGGAAAGCATCACAGCTGGTTCAGGTATATTCGACTTAATCAGCTCCACCATGAGGCTCTAAAACCCCACAAGCTCCTCCAGCTGCAGACTTCCCAAACAGTCAAATATGGGTCAGAGAGCCTCAGTGGTGTGAGAACTGCCGAGTGCCAGAGGACACTTTGCTAGAACTGCATGCGGAGTCTGAGCCAACCCCCAAAGGCAGGAGCTGGAAGATCTTGGCCCACAATGTGGTCTTGTGGCTGTGTTTTTCTAAGACATGTTTGTTGTGGAGAGGCAGAGCAAAGCTAAAAGAGTACTGCTGCTATCCTTAACAGCCACAGTGACTCCTGAGGTAGACCGTTGGCTTGGCTTCCACAACGAGGAAAGGATATTTTGCCCATTAAATCGAGTAAGTATCAATTTAGCCATCAATGTCTTGTGGCTACATTAAGAATTTACAGCGAGGCTGTTTGTTTGTGAAATCATATTTATTTGAGCAACCTGAGCTTTTGTGCATTACTTAAAACACTCAGAGAAGATCATTCTTAAAAATAAAGCTGCAGACATAAAACTTTTTATAAATACGGCAGCATACAAAGACATCACTCAAATGAAATGGCATAGTCGCATATGCGTAGTAACTCAAAAAACCTGGAGCTCAAACATTGCAATCCATCACAGCACCATCCTGTCTTGGTGTTTTCGGACGATAACAACATTTTTCAAGCCTCTGTGCTGGAATTTGTGGTAGCTCATGACATCATCACTATTCCCGTGTGGGATACCCCACAGTAGTGTGGGAAAACACTGCAGCTCCGAGCCTTTCACTCTTAAGTCAATAAGGTGGGAGCGTGCAACACTGACAATGTTCAGGAAGCACACGGGCAGTTAAACAAGACGGTAACCAAACACTAAAGCAGCCAAAATCTCTGGGTATAAATGTGACCAGTTTCACTTCCTGAAATCACAATGGGTTGGTTTCTATCAACACTCGTAGGTTTTCATCTGTTCAGAGTTTCTTTTCATTCCCAAATTACCATACGGGTTAATGACAAATAAGGCGCCATTCACACAGAATGTGTTTTTGCATTAAAAAACATGAGGCACGTTTTTTGTTGAACGTATTTTAACATGAGTGCTGTGTTTTTAGAAGGCATGTCATACACAAGATGCTGCAAAACACACAAGAAGTGAGTGCAACAGTCAAAAACATCCATCCAGCATGTTTACATGCAAAACATTGGAAAAGTAGTGCAGTGGAATACAAAAAAATGCTCTGTGAACATGGTTTTGAAACGATTATACGTTTTTTTGTTTTTTTTGGTTTGTTTTTGCAATGAATTATTTATTCATAAATATCAGATTTTGGGGGGAGTCACACCATATTACTTCCCACAAACTGAACTAACCTTATCTGACAGAGTCATGAGGGTCTGCAGGGGTCCTCTCTATGATGTAATTTCCTGCTTTTTTTTTTTCGTGTTTTTTTACATTGTCATGTAAAACCTTCGATTTTTAGCAGACAAAAATTTCTCAAATATTAATACGCAGTAAAGCAGTTAAAATATATAATTTAAAAATACAGAATATCATTCTTTTAATAAGTTTTTTTTTTTTCATTGTGATATAAGGACATGTGTATCACCCTGATATTTTGACTTACAAAAGAAAACATTTTTTAAATTTATTTTAATTCAGAAACTAAAAATCATACAAGAGGCATACAGTATTATTTTTTTTCTGTCAGCAGGCTAATTTAAAGTGTGAATTCATATCTTCATGTAGAATAGGAAAATAAACATTTAGCATTTATCACTTATGGAATGAAAATCCATATTTGTACAAAAAAATGTATGTTTTTTGTACAGACAATGTGGTCTGCACTTCAATGCAGCTGGACTTTGAAACAAACATGTGGAAGAGTGAGATATACAAGTCCGTCTTTTCTGGTGCTTGTAATTGAGCTCTATAGAGAAGCACACTCATCCTCCTTAGTTTTTCTGAAGGTACTCCTCTCTTTCAGCCCAGATGCTGGAAAAATTGCATTATAGTATTCGCTGTATACCTTCAAAAGAAATCAAAGAGATGCATCTCATAATGCTAAGCCCTCTGTGCAGCTGCTCGCTGCTTGAAGTAGTTAGGAGGAGAATGATGATCTAAAAACTTACTTCAAAGGAGTGGAAATAATTTGTCATTTAAAATCAAAATCAGATTTCATATGGTTAAATAAAACAACAACACAACCTCAATCATATAATTTACCAAACCACAGATGTTTGGTCAGACCGCAGCTCAACCCAAGAGATCCATCAAGTGGTGCTTACTATTTGCTCTATGAATGAAAGAGAAACATGCTGCTGGAATCATTGACAGCTCTGGGGAAAGTTACCTTCAAGAAGATAAGACGTAATCTCTTCAGATTACTACTGGAAAACAAAAATACACTGCACAAACACAGATGTCTAAACTTGCCTAAACTTGTCCTGCTTGCAAATAGATACTATAGATACTATTCTGAAGTCATGAATCATACATGCATTTCACAGCTTTAAAGCAATTATCCATCAATATCCATCAATTTTAATCATACTTTTTTTCTTTTTCAGATAGATGTGGTCACTATGAATTGTTGTTGTATGGAAAAAAAAAAAGATTCAGCAAAAATTCTGGGTAAAGTATGTTCAAAAAGTTTTCATTCTGCATTTCACAAACAGAAATAGCAGCTAATTGGTTTGGAACGACATGTAGGTGAATAATGAATTACAAAATCTTCATTTGTTGGGGTGAACTATACCTTAAAACGCACAAGACAACGCTAAATTTGCATATCCTGTGCATGCTTACCACATGCACCATTGATTTGTGGGTCATGTGTGTTCTTTTACAACACTTTGTCTTGTTGGCCTGTGACATAATCACATTGATAAGTTTGCAAATGAAAACACGGCGTGTGTGAAGCAGTTTGGAGGTTCTCGGAGGCCATGCTGTTTAATCACTCTCCATATAGTAGCAGCAGTGATCTATAGCGGCTGTTCTTTGGCTGAGATCGGATATTACAGCACATTCCCCTGCTACACTGAAGAGCTCTCATTAGGAAGCCTGCCTCTTTTAGCCAGACACCACTTTGACTGGGGCTGCTTTCACTGGTCACAATGAGTGATTGCCTGCTTCTATTGGAGCCGAAGTAGGCTTGCACCTGGAGGATGAAATGGCCATGCAATTTTGCGCCACTCTGGAGCTGACAAAACATTTTATGGCCCTTGTTTTCCTGGACGATATGAAAATGATCTCTAGTTAATTATCACACAGCGATGAAGGATCAGGACTGTGTGGACTCAGCAAAGGCTACTCACATTGAGGACTGAAAGGGAGAAGAAATGAGAAAAACAGATAGTGGACGATAACAATAACAATAGGACAAAATAACTGACAAG